ACACACAGACAGAGAGAGAGAGAGAGAGAGAGAGAGAGAGAGAGAGAGAGAGAGAGAGAGAGAGAGAGAGATTCTCACAGACTGACGGGCAGACAGGCAGACCGAAGGGTAATAGGGTATACAGGCAGTCAGCAGAGGGGCAGAGGAGGCTGGTTGGAGGCACAAGGTCACAGTAGTGATCCCACAGAATCAGTACAGATTGTATCTTGATCATGTCAGTTGCGCATTTTAATGCTTTTTCACGTCGCCTCTCTGTGTGATTAGTGAGGTCAGGCTTGTAGAAGGCGCAGGGTATCGTAGGTGGTACGGATAGCGTACGGAAAGAATCGGTACGGACTAATTGTTCATCATGTTGTTTTCACATCTTAAACCACCAGTAGACCTGGGCCTGGCGGCGCCTTACTGCACGCCAAGCTTTGTCGAACCGTTGGCAGCGCACATCTGGTAGCGCTAAGCCTCCAAAATTTTCGTAGGTGATGAAACATTTTTGAACAAGGTTGTGCCCCTGTACTGGCGGCTTAACACTTCTTTTTCATCTCTCTTGATCTCTAACTCCATCATCACTCCCTTTGTGGATCTCAATCATCTCTCCATTTCGCCACTTTATGTGCACTTTCAGGGAACACACACCAACCCATACCTCTCCCTAACCCATGGGCTATGTTCGCACCACAGTGTTGGTGTGAGAGCGGACCTGTACTGTCCCCTTATCACGCTCATGTGTGACTGGGCAGGTGTTGCCAGTGGGAGAACACTGGCAGTGCTAGAGCCAAGCACTGAGGCCGGTCATTACACCTCCCCTCGTCTCCCCATCCACAACTTTCACGAGTCCTATAGACTGAAACACAAGCCACAAAGACAGACACATAACAACTGTGTGACCCATGAAAAAGACCTACAGTCATTTCACCTGGGAGGTGAAGTGAAAAAACCTTGACATATGGCCAGCAGAACAAGTGTGTGATCCAGGAAAATGAGCTACACTAATTACACCGGGAAGTTAAGTGAAAAAGCCTTGACATATGGCCAGCGGGCCTAGTACAGTTGGTAAGCCGCACAAGCTGCATTCAGAAGATCATGGGTTCACGTCCCGTTGGCCTCACGTACATGCCTGGGCATGCTTGGTGCCCTACCATCCAGAGATAGGTCGCTGACCCCCCTGCCAGCATTAGCAGGATCTTCGCCAACTTTGTCGGGTGCAATGAGACAACCATGTTGGATATTAGACACTGCTAATACTGTGGAAAGGCCAGACTATGATACTCTTCTGGGTATGGCCCAGAGTCTAAAACTTTTGGCAAACACATAGTCTGGCTGCCACATGCAGTCAGCCAGTGCATGAGTGGGTGTGTTGGAAGACATCGTGGCGTGTGCGTTTGCCCTGGAATTTCCGTTTGTAAATGTCTCTGACTCCAAAAGGTTCAGTTATGATTATCATGCCTCGAGTATGTTCCAAGAAGATCATGGGTTCAAGTCCCAAGGGTTTTCAACAAACACTATGTGACTGCTGCATGCAAGGTATGACCGTATTGGGGGAGTAGTACATGTTTTTCCTGGCGGCTTTATCTGTATTATATTGAGCAGTGATGGTGCCTGTTGCCTCAAAGACGTCAAGAGATCTCTGATGTCCTTGCCTTCACTGCATGTTTCGTCTGTGTGTAATGTATGGGCTGCTGGCCAATGGTGAGTGCTGCCAGAGGGGTTGTGAGTGGGGATGGAGTCCCGGGGGGTGGGGCTGGGGGGGAAAGGATTGGTTTTGAATTGTTTGGGTGGCTATGGTGGTTTTGCAGTTGGTGATGTGTGGTTGACTGAGCAAGTTGGTCGGGTGTGGGTGGAGGGCTTATCCCTGGGAATGGAATGGTGTTTTGTGCGATTCTGTGGGTGGTGCGTGCAAGTAAATGAGGGGAAGGGGTTTGTATGTACTGGAGTGGAGGGGAGGGAAAGGAAGTCTGGTTTCGCTGGTGGTGGTGGTCGCGGGGTTGATGGCTGTGTGATGTGCTTGTGAAAATGCAGGAATTATTAGGCCCAGTTCCCGATGGATATGAGCTTTACTTCAGGCAAAGGTTTTCACACCTTCTGATGGAGGTGTACAAAGTGTTGATGGAGTTCTGCGCGCTTGAGCAGCAGTTCAGCAAGTACTTCTACACGCCTGAAGCAAAAGATAGCAGTTAATACCACATTCTGAACCCCCCCTTGAACCTATTATTCTCGCAACCTGCACACCACGTCTGATCTCCTCTTTAGATTCTTCAAAACGTAGAGGGCTACTTAGGAGTGATGTGGGGCTGTTGGGGTTTTGTTTTTGCTCCATGGTCATGAAGTCATTTGCCACAAACAAGGCCATACGCTTCGTGGCCGTTGGTTCTGGCCATTCGCTTTCCCTTAATGCGTGGAGGCAAGCAGTCACATAGAGAGACCGGAGAAGCCTGGGATCTGAGGTGGTCAAAATCTTCCAGAGGTGAGGAGTATGAGGGGGGAACTCTATGCGAGATCCTTTGTGATCGTATAGCCAGTTCAGTTGGTTGGTTTTAGAGACTTTTGGCTGTTTGCAGCCGTGTAATTCACATGGGAAAGGAGTGACGAATGGAGAGAGAAGTGCAGGGTAGCAAGGTGCATGTGATTGAGTTAGAAATGCTTCGTTCTTTTTTTTTGTGTTTTCGGGAGTGCTGTAAAGACGTGACATTGAGTAAAGCATGTTGACCATCTATCCTCTATACTCTCATGGAATATCTTTTCAAGAGATGGGCATCATGACTTTCCTGGGGTTGCTTTGGTAACAAAGCATTTGACAGATGAGTTTGATCCTGTTTGACAACACGTTCTTCGTTTGAGACCTAAGATCCTCACATTTTTTCAGTTGGTTTTTTTCCTGCCTCCTTGTCTTCGAACCTTTTAACTTATAAGAGATGCGAGTGCGTCTTTCTTGTCCTGTAACCAAATCTCCATCCATTGACCGACAGAGATGGTTATCAGAGGGTCCCGCAGACGGCTGGTAAAAGGGATCGGATCTCATGCAGCAGTGGCTTAATGTGGGACATCAAATTGATTACTTGTGATGCCTTGTCTTCTGATTGACACAGGCCATGGCCTTTTGCACAGTATTAACAGTCTCATCCTTGTGCATATTATCCTCATCTTAATGTCGCTTCCTGGATGCTCTTTGAACCCCTGTTGACGTCACATGGGCAATATCGCTGCCGGCCGTCACTGGATGCATCTAATGAACTTCAATCATTTTCATCATCCACCGCTTATCACACTTATGGTGCTCGCGCCTCCTCCGCCTTCTAACTATTTCCGATATCCTTTCTGTTGAGAGACAATCTAATGGCGAACAGGGAGGGTAATCATTTTGTTGAGACGATTGAACGGGGAGCACGGAAGGGATGCATCCTTACTCTTCAGAAGAATTCACCATCTGACACTTGCCTATGCACCAGGAGACGGAATTTAACTCCTTCCTGCAGGAATTGGCTTTTCGGATATCCAACAGCCAAGTGGTCCCTAATCTCTACTCGTTGAGGATAAGCCATCACAGATAGGACTAGTCCTCGTGAGCTTTGGCCACTAAATGTTGTTCTGCACGTTCGCCTTTCAGGGCTTCTTTGGTAGCTCATCTTGCCGGCCTCCCTTACGTCCTTTCTGTGTCACTTCTGCTCCGTCTTCGTTCATGGTCTATCATTCCTGGCTTTTGTAAATAGTTCTGATTGTTGATATCATGCTTCTTTTGCTTGGATCTAGTGCTTCTGTTATTGTCTGGAGTGATGCCTTCAGACATTTTTGTTGACCATGGGGGGTGTTGCCTGCTTTCCTTGGGTGCTGTGTAATTGAACTGGGAATGTGACTGTGAACTTGTATGTTATGTAGCAAAAGAAAAGCGTTGTAGATTCTCATGGCATCGCTTGTTAACGTTTGATGATAGTTATTCCCAAAATGGCCAGATATTGTCGCTGGGACAAGTCTCGAGGAGGGAGGTCTTGTTGAGTTGCATGAGGAACTGTGCAGTATTGTTGGGACTGTAAAAAGACTCGCGGGCATCAGAGTTCCATGTGTCACTCCATTTGTGTGGAGTGTTTTTGCTGGGGACACTGTCTTTCCAAGTCACAACTTATTCACTACAGCGGCACACTTCGTGCTCTCTTCTCATCTTGTCGTTTGTGCCGGTGATTATGATGGAACACTTTTGTGTTCTCTTCTCATCTTTTCTGGTTGTGTTAAAAACTGCGGCATGTGTGATGTCTCATGCGTTTGTGATTGATTTTGCGTTTCATCCTATCTCCATATCGAATATGACACACATGCCAAACTTTTTGGAGTTCGATCTCATAGCGAATACTGGCGTGCATTGGATCTTAGCTGCATTGCTTGCATTGCGGAACATGTTGGTGGTAAGGGCCAGCAGGGCTTTCAAGGTTTTCTTTTACATAGAAGCAGTAGAGCGCAGGGTCATGTTAGCGAACCGGGGTGGTGTGGGCATAGGGTTGGAGGAGGGAGGTGTGCACTGTGCAGGATGACACCCAGGGACTGTTGCTTTCACTCCAGTGGTGAAGGACAGATGTTGGTATTGCAGTAAGCGGTGCTGTATCTTGAAGAGAAGGAAGTACAAGGGAAATAGGGTGGATGATTGGAGGGGGTGAATGAAATGACTTTATCTTTTGCGGTAGGTAAACCTGTGGTACTCTGGCAAGTAGACGTTCTGTCAGAAGCCTTCACGAATGTGTCCAACCACAGGAATGACTCTGAAGGGTTCTGTCAGAACCCTTGGGTACCTTAAGGGTTCTGACAGGACCTTTCAGGTATCTTTAGGGGAGACTAGTTGCTTGCGGCAATAATTGGGAGCCTTGGTGTGTGTTGGTTTGAGGTGGGGTTGAGGATAGCAGAAGAAGGAAAGGAGGTTGGGTTTTTGTTGATGCAGAGGTGAAATCTTGCACTGCTGTGGGAGCTCACTATAACAGAAGGGTTATGGTTGTGTCACCAGTGAACCGTGGAGGTTGGTAGGTCGAAAACTGTATGCCAAGGTGTAAAGAGCATCAGTGCCTGGCCCGGATTGGGTTGCTGAGGAAGTCGGCCAGGATGGTTGTGTGGGGTGCGGGTTACAGTGACTGTTGGTGCTTGCGATGGTGGCAAAGCTGTGGCGTCCATCTTCCTCTATATGTCTTGGGGGAAGAGACCTGAATCACATAGCAGTGAAGGGGGTAGATCAGGATCATAGTTGCATTCAACATGAACAATGAGGCCGCAAGTAGGAGATGGAGGCGGGGGGAGTGAAGGAGGCACCAGCAGTGCACGAAAAGGGGGAAAGCAGCAGATTGAGATGTTTCAACTGGTAGCAGTAAATAGCACGAGCAGCAGCAGTGGCTGCCACAGAGGTAGTGTTAATAGTAGTACTTCTGGTTATTCATGGCAGTGCTACCGTTTTCCCCTGAATAGAATGCCCTGAAACGGTTTCACCCAGTTGATCCATCATTTGCAGACACAGAGATTCGATCCCTAGACCTGTGCCCGAGCCCTGTACATTGACCCTGTGTGCCGAGTGAGATTCGATCCCTAGACCTACCATGTACCCTGTACGTAGACCCAGTGATCTGTGTGGGACTCAATCCCGTGGCCTGTCCTACACCTAGGCTAGTCTGTAGGACGGATAGGACTCGATCCCTAGGTCTGTAGGTTAGTAGTTAGGCCTGTTACCGGTAGGCTTAGGAAGGTCTGTTCTAGAAGTCTCTATCTGAGTCTACTGAGGCCTAGAGTCTGACTGTAAGTCTGTAGGCCCCAGAAGGTCATAGGTCCCTGTAGGCCAGTCCAGGCAGCAAGTACCAGGGGTAGGGGCTGCACGTGGGGAAGGTTCTGGACCATGCGGTGGGTTCCACGCGTTTTGGCCCAGAAGGCCACACATCTGCAAGCTTCCCTGGGCCACGCGTTTTGGCCCAGGCCCACGCGTTTTGAGGCAGGCCCGGGTACCTCCGAAGAAGTATAAATACAGAGGCAGCATCCAGCCATTCATTCATTCGCCTATGAGCCATGTGGAAGCGCTGCCTTGGTATCTTGTGCGTGGAGGTCTGCAGGTGCCCGGAGAGGAAGTGGGCAGTGAGGAAGACAGCGGCCATAGCTGGCCCGTAAGGAAGACACCGGCGGCCATAGCTAGGAGGAGGAGGATGACGGCGGCCATAGCCGCCCAGCGGCTGACACAGACGGAGTGTGTGTGCCTGTGTTACGTGGACGTTCAGGGTAGATCCTCGTACGTGCATGCATGAGGGAGAGTGTTACATGCCCAGTTGGGCGATGTACATATATAACCGAGGATCCACAATGTGATAAAAAGGACTGAATGGACAATGCAGTGCAAGTAAAATCTCAACAAGCAGTGTACATCCTGATAAACAAAACATGGTGCTTTATAGCGCAGGGGAAGACTTAGATACAAGTCCTGACCTGACCAGGACTGACCTCCATCACGTAGTGTAAGACAGCGCAGCAGAACACTAGAATACCAATTACTAGCCCAATCAATGTTGCAACGCAGACCAAACATACATCATCCTCATCACAAGGTGTGAACGGACCTGGCGCTACACACAGGAAGAATGCGCCAGGTCCAAATCATGCACAGACGAAGAGGAGGGGAACAGATGAAGACGAGGGGGAGAGATGGGAATGTCGTCAACACCAAGTCTTGGTTACAAGTCCCAAATAATCCCTCGTCGAAATGTCTGAACCCAATGTCGAGTCTGGATCCAAATGTCACCAAGCCCGCTGCCTCATAGTTTGCTGATGCAGTGAAGTCAGATAGCGAGAGGGTGAGAGGGAGATGGTGGACTGAGAAGAGGAAGAAGAAGAACTCTCTCTCTCATATGCGAGGTACTAACCTGTGAAGATGGCGCTGTGCTTCAGGTACCTCGAAGGCGAAGCTGGAGCTATGGCGCTGCGGGTAAGTATCCCTGGCCTCCGCCCAATCTCTCTCTCTCTCTAGTACGACTCTAGCTCCTAAGAGCGCCCAGCGCTGAAGACTACGGCTAATGCTACTAGCGCCCAGTGCTGAAGACTACTGCTAGCGCTACTACTACTCCTGCAGCACTCCTCCAGAGTGCTGCTGCCGAATCCTGAAGACTACCGCCTGCCTCCTGAACTGCACGTGAAGTGCCTGGGAAGTACCTAGGAACTACCTGCCAGCCTGCAGGGCGGGCCAGTCCTATATAGTGCTGGCCCGTCCAGGAGGCTGCTCTTGCCAATGCCGAAACGTGCCCGACCCTGGCGTTGAAGCTCAACGAGGGGTTGTCTTGAAAACAGGCCCAAAATGGCCTGTGTTAAAACCCTTGTCTGGTTCCTGAGTTTCAGGGCGGGTCGATCTGATGAGGGTATGAAAATGGCCCTCAGTTTCAGGCTGAAAAGGCCCTGATTTAGGCTGGAACGACACAGGGCCTGTAGGCCCTCGTTTTCAGGCTTCAAGCTGAAACGACACGGGGCCTGCAGGCCCTTGTTTTCAGGCTTTTGGCCTGAAAACGTCACGGTCCTGAAAGGGGGCCCATGCAGCCTGTTGCAGGCGCAGCATGTAACACCCCCCCCTCCTTATGAAGTCAAGTCGGGTCGAGGGCGAAGCTGACGATCTGAAGGTGAAACCTGGACGCGGGTGCGACGTGGAGCCGAAGATACCGGCTTGCCTTGCATCTTGCGTTCGTAGCGTGTGAGAACATTCGTAGCGTGTGAGAACATCCGGAGCTGTTGCTTGGAGTTCCGCACGGGTCAACCAATAGTCAGCTTTGTGAGTGCAGTACGCAAAATGTACCAAGTACTCGGTTGGCCTGTTGCCGTAGCGTCGCTGGGAGATGATGTCGCCGACCTCCTGAAAACCGTCCATAGAGGGTGGGTCTTGCGATCATCACCCGGGAAAGTCGCCATGTTCCACTGGAGTGTAAAGAGCCAACTGGGAGCAATGAAAGACCGGGTAGAAGGGCAAGTGGGTGGGCACCTGAATGGTGAAGGAAGGTCCTTCGGGTACATCCCCAGTGAATGGGACGATCGGCCAAGGCCCCATCCATTTTGGGAGGAGCTTACTAGAGATATCTTGTTCAAGGCTGAATTCCGCGGCGGAAACCCAAACGAGATCGCCGGCGCGGAATGGGCAAGGAAGACACTGGCGATTGGCCTGTTGGCTCATGCGTTGCTGTGTCTTTTAGCCATCTGGTCGCGTGCCTTGACAAGTAGCTCTTGCATCCAACGCAAGAAAAGAAGATGGTCGTCGCTCTCGGCCGTTCGTGGAACGATTGTGTCCAACGAAGAAATGACCGGCGAGCCGTGTTCAAACTTGAAGGGCGACATCCCGATAGCCGGGTGGATGGACGAGTTGTATGCCAACTCAACATCCGGCAGCCGCTCAACCCACAATCCTTTTGGTCGGGACGGATGAGAGTGTGAAGGAGAATCTGTGCGGTCTGATGCGCCCTTCTCCGTTTGGCCATTGGTTTGGGGGTGGCGAGTCGAACTTGGCTTGAGAGATTAGCCCCATCGCTTGATGAGCGCCTACAAAAAATCGGACATGAACCGAGTGTCGCGGTCACAGACGATTTCCTTGGGGTAGCCCTTGGTTCGAATCCAACCGGCGTAAAGAACTTCGGCCAACTCCGGTGCCTTGCCATGATAGCGGTAAGGCAAAAACATGACGAACTTGGTGAGTCGCTCGACCACCGTGAAAATCCCATCCACATCGGTCTTGTGCTTGGGGAACGGCCCGGTAATGTCCATGGCAATCGCTTCCCTTCGCATCCTCTCCGAAGTCAAACAACCGATCCTCGCATTGAAGCTTGGTCAACTGGGCTGCGATCTTCGAGTATCCCTTGATGAAACATGGGTAGTAGCCGACAAGACTGAGGAACGAACGGACATCCGTGACATTCCGTGGTTCCGGCCGCTCTTGGATGGCTTGAATCTTTTCGGACAGCGGACTAATGCCCTGCGATGTGACAAAATGGCCCAAGTATTCCAGCTTTTGCCGGACAAATTCGCACTTGTCGCGGTTGGCCTTGTACTTGGCGCGGCGGAGCGTCTCCAACACTCGTCGAAGGTGCCCAAGATGATCCTCCAATGTCCGACTATAGACGAGAATGTCGTCTAAGTAGACCAGCATGAACCAGTCCAACATCGCATGAAACTCGTTGGTCATTGCCGCTTGAAAGGTCATTGGGGCGTTGGTGAGGCCAAAAGGCATGACCACCCACTCAAAATGCCACTGTGTCTTGAACGCGGATTTGTAGCGATCGTTCGGTTGGATCGAGATTTGATGATATCCCGACTTCAAATCCAACTTAGAAAAATACTTTGTGCCGCCCAATCGCTCAAGAAGATCGTCGATACGAGGAAGAGGCCCCGCATTCTTGACGGTTTGCATGTTGAGCTTGCGGTAGTCGATGCACAATCGTAGATCCTTGTTCTTCTTCCGCACGAAGAGAATTGGTGCTCCATATGGAGAGCTACTAGGGCGGATCCAACCCTTGTCCAACAAGTCATCGAGTTGCGCGCGGAGGGCCGTAAGCTCCTCCTCGCTCATGCGGTAAATGCAACCTTTCGGCGGCACGGCACCGGCCTCAAGAATGATCTCGTGAGAGATCGGCCGATCCGGCAGGTGACTCGAAGATGTCGGTGAACTCGTCAAGCAACCGCTTCACAGAGGGGTCCGAAGACAAGTCCGTGGGTGAAGAGACGGCTACCGCGACAGTCCGTAGGAAACATAGGCCGATCTCGCCGGGCTGCTCATAAGCACAAGTAGTCGGGAATGACTTGGCCGTCACCACTTGGCATCGGATCGAAGGGTGTGGAAGAGGAATGGTACACGGTATTTCGGCGCCGAAAGCGTCACCAACGGTAAGAGTCCGCCAGTGGACGTTGACCGTGTGATCCGCACTTGTAAGCCAAAGGCATTCCCAAAATAATGTCGAAGTCCGTGTCCAAAATGTTGAACGTTACCGGTTCGTATGCATGAGGTGCGAAATACACTCGTACGGCCTCGATGTAGCGGTCGATAAGTTGTTTCGTCCTTCCGTCCGCCAACTTGATCGTCGTCGGGTTTGCCTTCCTCCGAACTTGTGTGCCAAGGCCAGCCCTTTGCATAAAGGCTTGGCTCATGAAATTGCGAGACGTGCCGCTATCCAGCAAAGCGCTGCAGGACGCTTGCCCAACTTGGATGCAGACATAGAGGAGCGGTGCGTTGTTGTCGTCGTACCGCTGCTAGCGAAACTCGCGGGCCACCTTGGTAACATACTCGAGGGTGTCCCCCACCGCAGCTTCCTCATCCGTCGGTGAAGTTGGTGGTGCATAGAAGGATAGATACGTGTGAAGATGATCGCATAATGTTGCGCCTTGCGGTCCCAGCAAGTGGCCTGTGGCCGGGAGAGGAAGCCATGCGAAATCCTCTTGTCCTTGAGCACGAGTACCCAGCGTAGGAATGAGTCGGGCAGCATAGTCCTCATAAGAAAATAGAAGAGGAGGACTATCGACTTCCATATGTGCCTCGGAACGAAGGGCAGTCACCCGCGAAGCCACCGGTTCCGAAGCCGTCGAGAGTGTTGTCAAGTCACACCCGGCGGTGCTCAGTTTTCCGATTTGCCCTTGCCTTTCGACTTGCAGCCCACTGTCTTGTGGAGATTGTTGTTGCACCACAAACAATAGTGGAATCTCGTGCGTGCCTTGGATGCTTGCTCGGAGAGATCGTAGTGGGACCATGGGGCTGGAGCTGCTGCGCCGAGCCCGGGGCTAGATGCGGTGTTTGTCTTCACCTTGCCGCGTCCTCGGCCTTTGCCGGGGCGGCCACCATCACGGGCGGCTGCGAGTCTGTCACCTTCATTGGCAGACACGGCCTCGCTAGTTTGGTCGTTTGGTGTTGCCGCCGCGACCTCGACCATTTTTGGCCGATGCTGATTTCTGCTCAGGCCAGTCGCAGACGAACAGTGGAGTTTCTTAGCCTCCTTGTTCGTGACAATAATCTGTGCGGCCTTGTCAAAGAGCTCCTCCGGTGTCGTCGGTGTCCTTGATGTGAGTCAAGGCATTGCCCAATGCCGGACACGACCTCGAGATGAAGTAGTGTTTGATGGCTTTGAAGCCCATTTGAATGTCTGGGACGAATGTCAAGCGTTGGTACTCGGCAGTCCAATCAACACTCGACGGCGGGCCTTGTTCGAAGGTCATCAACTTGTCCATTGCCTTGATCTCTGGTGGCTCTATTTGGAACCGCTCATGCCACGCCGCCTTTAGATCATGATCTTGGTATGCAAGTCGGCAGCCGCCACTCCGTACTTGGACAAGAGATTGTCCAACCATGCTTGGCACGCGCCTCCTGACCGGGAGTAGAAGTACGCATGGTCGCTGCAACTTGAGCTTGAACTTGCGGAACCATGGAATCGGGTCCATCTTTGTCGAGTCGCAGAAGATCTCCTGATCATCAAACTTTGGAATTGTCTCGCACGGTTCCGAGCTCGAGTGGGTATCGGCAGTACAGATCCGCTGCTCCAACTGTGCGTTGCGGTTTGCTGTAACTACACGCCGTCCTTGAGGGATCTGATTTCAATCTCCAATGCCTCGAGGTGATCGGAGGTGTTGGAAGAGCTGGCAACGGGGGCGACGACGGTTTGTTCCAGCTGCTGGAGGCGGCTGTTGACTTGGTCAAACACCTGATTGTGCATCCGAACCGAGTCGTCGAGGTTGTGGATGTCCTCCTGCTGTGCGATGCACGTGGCCGGGAGGTCTGTGTGATGGGAGAGGAGTAGAGCAATCTTGTTTTCGCTCTGTTCCGTCTTCCCATTCTCGGCCTCGGCCTCGGCCTGCCAGTCCGCTGCCATTGCGAGCAAGGCTCGCTCTGCGCTGAATATCTTCTCGCGTCGTTGAAGTCGTTCTTCATCGGCAGCCTTTGTCGCTGCCTCGTCGTGCTGGCACTGCTGTTCAATTGCCAACAGTCGTGCCTTTTCAGCGTCCTCCGCCTTCTTCTTTGTTGCGGCTGCTACAGCATCCGACCATTGCTTAGCTTCGGTAATCAGAAGCAGCATCCGGGCCTGATAGGCCTCATCCGTTTCCTCGGACTTCTGATCCATGCCGGCTGTTTGTAAGCGCGTGAGCATTGACCAGTCCGGGGGCCTGCTGACGTGGTACTCCCTGCTGTTAACATGGCACTGTTGTTGGCTGACGTGGCTTGCCGACATGGCAACTTACCAATGCCGCCGCAGGGGGTACCCGGAGACAGATAGAGAAGGTAAGACCAGAGGGGGCAACAACGTAGGTGGGGACGGGTGGGTGGGATAAATCGCCCAGATAAGAAGCCACTAATCAAAAAAGAAAAGTTTGAACTTTGCAAAAATTTCGAGAAAAAGAAAAAAATACTCGTTTGCAAGTTCAGTAGGCCTCCCAATTCCCCCTGAAGTGCGAAATTATGAATGAGAAAAAAAATTCGAACCTTCAGACTGCAGACGAGTGTCCGATAAGAATTCTGAAAAGAAACTACAAACAAACATTCGGAATTACTGAGATGAGAGTACGCGCAGTTTGGAAATGATAACTGCAAGAGGTATTTCCCGTACCGTTTTCAGAAAAACGAATTTCGAAAAAAAATATTCCAGATTTCCAAATAATGGGAAATTGCAAAAGGAAAACGAAATTTTTGAAAAAAAGATATTCCAGATTAAAGAAAAAAATTTTGATTTTCGGCAGTGAGGTCGAAATCGTGATTTTGGGGGCTAACTAGTGTGCTCTAATCAATCAATCAAGACTAATCAGCTACCTAGTCCCCGCACACGTGTCAGATCAGGTTGTCCTGATTCACGTGCGGTGTTCCGATACCAACTGTTACATAACCGAGGATCCACTATGTAATAAAAAGGACTGAATGGACAATGCAGTGCAAGTGAAATCTCAACATGCAGTGTACATCCTGATACACAAATCATGGTGCTTTATAGCGCAGGGGAAGACTTAGATACAAGTCCTGTCCTTCCAGGGACTGACCTCCATCACGTAGTGTAAGACAGCACAGTAGAACGCTAGAATACCAATGACTAGCCCAATCAATGTTGCAACGCAGACCAAACATACATCATCCTCATCACAAGGTGTGAAGGGATCTGGCGCTACACACAGGAAGAATGCACCAGGTCCAAATCATGCATAGACGAAGAGGAGGGGAACAGATGAAGACGAGGGGGAGAGATGGGTATGTCATCAACACCAAGTAATCTGAAGCCCAATGTCGAGTCTGGATCCAAATGTCACCAAGCCCGCTCCCTCATAGTCTGCTGATGCATTGAAGTCAGATATCGAGAGGGTGAAGGGGGAGATGGTGGACTGAGAAGAGGAAGAAGAAGAACTCTCTCTCTCTCATATGCCAGGTACTAACCTGTGAAGATGGCGCTGTGCTGCAGGTACCTCAAAGGCGAAGCTGGAGCTATGGCGCTGCAGGTAAGTAGCCCTGGCCTCCGCCCAATCTCTCTCTCTCTAGTACTACTCTAGCTCCTAAGAGCGCCCATCGCTAAAGACTACTGCTAGCGCTACTACTACTCTTGCAGCGCTCCTCCAGAGTGCTGCTGCCGATTCCTGAAGACTACCTCCTGCCTCCTGAACTGCACGTGCAGTGCTTGGGAAGTACCTAGGAACTACCTGTCGGCCTGCAGGGCGGGCCAGTCCTATATAGTGCTGGCCCGTCCAGCAGGCTGCTCTTGCCAATGCCGCAGCATGCCAGACCCTGGCGTTGAAGCTCAACGAGGGGTTGTCTTGAAAACAGGCCCAAAATGGCCTGTGCTAAAACGTTGGTTTGGTGCCTGAGTTTCAGGGCGGGTCGATCTGATGGCCTGAAAATGGCCCTCTGTTCCAGGCTGAAAAGGCCCTGATTTAGGCTGAAACGACACAGGGCCTGTAGGCCCTTGTTTTCAGGCTTTCAGGCTGAAACGACACGGGGCCTGCAGGCCCTTGTTTTCAGGCTTTTGGCCTGAAAATGCCCCGTGCAGCCTGTTGCAGGCGCAGCATGTAACAGAGAGTGAGGCTGGTGGTGGAGATGGTGTTCGGCGGCCATAGCCGCAAGTTGTACAGTTGTATTGAACAGAGTTTAAGTGCAAGTTCGTTGTTGATTATGAGTTGACGAGTTTGGTTTTGCCATCAGTTCTCGTGTATGCATGTGGAAAGTAAGTCTGAAGTCGAGTCTGATTGCACTGGTATCGGAGCCGGTTCCCGTTGTCCGCGTTGGAGCTGCAGCGAGTTGGAGGTGAGAGAAGCCGCCATAGCTAGAGTACAGCAGAGTGAGAGAAACAAACAAAGAGAGAGAGAGCGAGAAGGAGGCAGCAGTGGACGGCAGCCATAGCTGTCGAGCTCGGAGAAGAAGAAGACCACCATGAAGAAAGGAGAAAGAAGAGACGCAGAGAGAAAGAAGAAGGAAGTTGACGAAGAGAAAGGTGAAGTCGGCCATAGCCAAGGTGAAGAAGACG